TTTATTTGAATGAAACAAACAAACAAACAAACAAACAGGTATATTTCAATTACTCACAATGTATAGCATTTCTTTATTCCTTCCTTTCTTTTTTCTCTCTTTTTTCTTTCTTTTTTCTTTCTTTTTTTTGATTGTTCATTATCTTAATTTTTCTTTTTTGTTTACACAAATTGACAATTAAAAAAAAAGATAAACAAAAACAAAAAAATAAAACAATGAAAATTTATTTATTAATAAATAAATATGTAAACAATTGTATCATTGAAAATGTAGAAGATCATTATAGGATAGTGTTGGCCTTTTATTGATTTTTATGTGTTTAGGTTAAGAGTACATTTGTTTATAAAGTATTTTGTTCTTTGTGAATAATAATAATAATAATAATAAATATGTATATAATTATGTGTTAACATTTTGATATTGAGCTGAGGTGCTAGTTGTGACAGCCTGGTGCAGAGAAGTGGCGTCGAATGGAGTGTTCTGGCGGGATGGCGTTGGTTGTAGCAGGTGATGTCGACGGAGAGGAGCAGAGGGACGTGCGGCTGTTGGGCGGACGTCGGATGTAGATGTCTCAGCAGGACGGTGGAGCAGGAGTGTTAAGTGTCCCAGGTACCAGGTGGATGTCGGATGTTGTTGCCCCGACAGGTCGATGGAGCTATGGTGGTCAGCTCGCCTCAAACTCGACATTTTGACGGAGAGCGTAGCACAGACTGCAGAGACAAAGAATGTGGCACTGTGAGCATAAACCACCGCAAGTACGACTACTTCAAAGGGGGGCACGAGTGTGGTATGTGCTACTTATATCGACAAAAGTAGTATATGATGTTAGTCGTGAACAGAAGGTCTGGCAGCACATAGACAAGAGGATCGAACAGTAAAGAATAGAAACAATTTAGATGAAAATGCAAGAACAATGAAGTGTGGGCCATTTTGAGACGATTGATGGACAATTTGCAAACTAAGTATTTACTATTTGATTATTCGATTTTATTAACAAGTCCTGTCAAATACGTTCCATTGTCCCCACTGGTTTTCGTGTTCACTACATTAGATCCGAGTTCATTCATTCTGTTTCACTTTATGACTGTGAAACATGGCCATTGAGAGTAGAAGATATTCGTATTGCTCATATCTGCTGGGATCATTGGGTAAGTAATAGTGAGGTTAGATGCAAGGTATTAGAGAATGATGATAAATCAGTTGATGAGATTATGAATCTTCATCAACAAAGATGGTTGAGCCACGTGTTACGTATGTCTGAACTCTGATTACTACGACGCGCAATGCTGACTAGTGTTGGAGATAATTGGAAGAATGCAAAAGGCGGTTAAACCAAAACGTGGGATCAGTCTACAAAGTCACCAACTTATAGTGTGAGCCATGCTGTTAGATGCAGACTACTCGGTCGGGGTCCGCGTGACTATCGTAACCAATGGTTGGAGACTCTGTGTAACATGGCTGAGAATTGACTACAATGGCGTCGGTTATACACTCTCTGTCTTCCCTTAAACCGTGAGATTAAAACCGCTTCGTATCTCTCTTTCTACGAACTAATTCTTTCTTCCTGTACAATGCCTTTATACGCAATCTTTCTTTTATATACTACCACCATTGAATTAACTACTTCGATGAATCCGGTGTTCATTTTGTTGTGTTATTAAGGTATGGCAACTTGGATCGATGCACATATGTGTCTTGTCCCACGTTGTAGCTGACTAACTGTCTAATGTTCAAGTTTTAGAGTGTAAATCAACTTTTAGCATACAGGTACACTCAGTTGACGAATCTTAAATAGGACGAAACGTACATCTTGCGTTCCATTGCTAGCCATCACTCACTTTTGTTAATAATTATATGACATTCAAAAAGAAATCATATTTGTGAAAAATTTTAGAGACTGATATTAAAATAATGGTAACGTTTCGTTCCTTATATTAGTTTGTACTTCTTCAGGGAAATAATCAAACACATTACATACACAAGTGAGTAACTATCTGAATTCAGTAGCTAAGTGGATGACATGTTGAGCTTTTGGAGCGAGAAGTACTAGATTCGAATCCTAAATGAAAATCAACTCTAATATATAAGTATAGCTGATAAAAAATCTCAAAAAGAATATTTTACTTGTCCTGGATTTCACTTCTATTCACATTTCATCTTTTTTGTGTAAAATTAAGATATAATGACAAGCCATAAAAGATACAACTCGGCCTGTAGCTCTTCTAGGGATACTGTCGGTCCCAAGCCCGGGTAAAGGAGGAGGGTTGGGCATGGGCTTAACAACCCCATCCCGTAGAAAACTAGCTAAAAAAACGTTAATCAGAAAAAATAATTCAATGCTGGTGGGCGGCCTATGCTCCTCCACGAGGAGTAACTGGCGTAAGTAAGTAAGTAAGTAATAAAAGATGCGGTTATGTCAAATGAGACTAAGCAAAATTCAGTCAAAGTATCAACAACGCGATACTCCAAACCATTATAAGTTGAAAGTTAAGAAATCTACATTTGACGGGTCAGTTCAGTTCTCTTAGTTCTGTTGCATATTAATTGCCAAATAACGATATCGATAAACGATATAATTCAACATTATGACTCACTAATCTTTGATATTTGAAAAACAAAAGATTTTGTAGTTCCATCCATTTCATAAAACGTTTTGACGTAATGGTTATGTTGAATCAGTCTGCATAGGATGCATGTATACTGACTAAAACTGGTCGAAATCTAATACATTTCACAACCCCATCTGAGTGCGAACCAACGACCGTCAAATCATAAGATAAACGCTTAACTATCAGGACCTTTCAGTTGCCCTCTATTGATATACATTTCCAAAGTCAGTCAATTCATGACATAGCGCAATAATCTCTTGAGAAATTTCTGAATTCTGTCAGTCATAAATTCTGACTAGAAGTTTTGGAACATTTTAAGTCGAGTCACTATTCAGCTAACTATTATGGTTTATATTCGTGGATGAAATCACAAACTGATTTTAGCTGGACGACAAACAAAAACCGAAAAAAGCTGGGGAATGTTTTCGTCCCAGTACGGAATTTTCCAACGTTGCACATCCACGACATTGCCATTAGGGAACCAAATACAAGATCTTCAGTATTATGAACGAACACTTAACCTCTAAGTCACTGAGCTCGCATCTAATGGTGTACAGGTTAAAATTCAATCACTTTATGATACTATACAACAATCTTCATGTACACGTATATGTACAACATTCAATATCGGCTCAATGATCTAGATGTTAAGCGTTCCTTCACAATACTGAAGGTCTTAGATTTGATTCCCTAAGGCAGTGTTGTGAATGTGCACTGTTTGCGGGTTCTGTACTAGGACAAAACAACTTTCCAGTTTTTCTTGGCTTTAATTGATGGTCTAAGATTAGTTCGTGACTTAAACTATAAAAATTCTACAAAACTCTATATTGATAACAATCACTTGTTCACTTGTAATTACCTTCTAGATGAAACTCTTGAAGTTCGAATGAGAAGCTATGACCAGTGGAGTTTAACTATTTCAGATGTGAAATAGTTATACACAACAGGCAATTGAAGATGGTCAAGTTATATAGGAGATGATCAACTATTGAATTGAAATGTATCAGAATATAACGACTGTATTATTTGAAATGAAGAAACCGGTATCCAAATAAATAGTATGCCTACTTATACATGGATATATATACATTAATAGAAATTTCAAGAAAGACTGCTGAATCAGTTTTTGTAATAATCTCCACATAAATTTGAAATTCTTAAGATTTCAATGTGCAAAGAAATGTCCCTTCATCGTTATAATTTCAGGCACCCCACAGAACAGTGCATATTTTTAGATTATATTATGAATGTAATTCACTTGGTATTGTTTACGTGAATCTTCTCATTGATGTTCAGGACTACAATTGATCAGTCATTTATTGGCATATGTGCATACCGTGTGTAAGCCTCGATATAGCCTTAATTCATGAGCGTTATATGCAAAGATAACTGTAGGGACTCAGTAATAAAGTGTAGGACTCGATGATGCTTGCAGCGAGCGGTACTGAGTTCAAGTCACAGAATGAACATCAAATCTGGGGTGCAAGTACATCTAGCTAAACAATTCCAGATGATACAAAACGCGTAACCTGGATTCCACTGCTAGCCACTATCCATATATGAATATGAATGTGATTGTGTCATACAGGCAGAAGAACTCAATTGCTTATCCTTATCATCATCATCATCATCATCATCATCATCATCATCATCATCATCATCATCATCATCATCATCATCATCATCATCATCATCATCATCATCATCATCATCATCATCATCATCATCATCATCATCATCATCATCATCATCATCATCATCATCATCATCATTATAAAGTCTAATTTAATCTTTTTAATTTTAATGATTGATTTTATATTGGCGACAAATTGTAAATGACGCCAAATTTTATTGAGCGAAATTATGAAACCAATGGTCAATAATCTTTGTGCATTACAATGAATATTTGAATAATCAAATTGTTGATCAAAACATTCTGAATTCCAGAGTTAATCAAATAATTAGGTTGACTAGATGTCGTAATGTATACACTGTAGAGGCCATAGTGTAATTCATAAATGTTGAAGTGCAGTATTTCCTCAAACTTGACAAAATATTGTCAATATTCTGTATTAACTTGACATAATAGACTCTATGATGAATTAACCTCATTCAAAAAGGAGATCTTCAATTTTGATGTTGCGTAATCATGACTAGATAAAATATTACGTTTTTTTCCTATGATAATTAACTGTATATTTGTTAATATCAACAATAATTTATCTCATTAGTTCAGATCATGAGTTAACTGAAACTAGACGACCATAGAAAACCTAGAAGCACTGAACGGCCGTTTCGTCATACTATGGGATAAGTGACTGGCTTTAAGATGTATATCCTGGAGTTCTGGTGAGAAGCAGTGACCATTGGAGTTCAACCGGGTCGGTTGTGAGATAATAACTCTTAGATGTCAATGGTAGATGTGTAGCTCAATTTCGTGGATTAGTTGAAGTTAGACATTAACACCGTTGGATACCGGCTCAGTGGCCTAGTGTTTAAAAGCTCGCGTGCTAGACCGACGGGTCCTGGGTTCGAATCCAGTGAGTCGAGTTCATGGATGAGAACTGCTAAAGAGTCCCACAATAGCACAAAATGGCCGTTCAGTGCTCCCAGGTTCTCTATGGTAGTCTAGCTTCATTGAAAACTTAGAATCCTAATATGAAACTTCTCAGTAGTTTACATCTATGATTACACACATGGAATTCGAACTCAGGACTCTCTCTCTCTCTCTCTCTATGTGTCGAGTTCAAATGCTTAACCTCTAGATCAATAATGCGATATTTAACACTATTAATGTCTAACTTCAATCAACTAATAAATTCAATTATTACAATACTACTACTAACTCCGTAAATTACTATTCAGATAAATTCTGAATTATCTTGTGATGATGAAGAAGATTTCCAGCTCAATTGAATGATTTCGATAAAGTTTTGTACTTTTATCTGGATGGTTTAGTCACATAAAGCTTTTCATCGTTCCTTTGAATGGCATCATCAGCACAAAACTTCAAATAGAAGTTCAATTGTATCATCATCATAATAATAATGTTCAATAGAAAAAACGTATTTCCCAATGTTTGTTTAAATAAATCTTATAAGATATATTCAAGTCAATTATAATAATAAACAATGAATTCGATTTGTTTATTTAAAGTTAAAGAAATAAAGGTGTGGTTATTCAATTTATTGTTGTTTTAATAGTTGAATAATTGAATGAATACACTAAAGATTCAAATGTCAATTTCAAGGCGGTCTATTTCAATAGTTTTGGATTGTTTTTGAATTGAATGATCATAAATAGTAACTAAATGTATTTACTTACTTACTTAGATACTTACTTACGCCTGTCACTCCTCGTGGAGAAGCATAGGTCACCCACCAGCACTCTTTAGTCAAACCTGTTCTGGACAATATTTTCTTTCTTATATCTGCTTCCAATTTCCAATCTAGTGTGTTCATAGTGAACAATCGATCTTATCAGAAATCTTCAATTCCACTTATCAAATTAGCCCAGCTTGAAGCAAAAAAAAGAAGATCAAAATACAAATGAAACTCATTATCATACTCTCATAATTATTAAACCATCAAAACTATAGTATTCTCATATGACATGCCAAATAAGATCGAGTGTAATCCTCACTTAAAGGATCTTACAGTATAGGTACACGTTATTAATCATCGGATTGAACTCAATTAGTGTAATGACGCTAAAAAAATCACTATGAATGGTTGATCCATTCAGAAATTATGAAAGAAAGTGTAACCAACAAATTACTGTAGAAAGTCCCAGTGATTTGTGACTTTTATAACTTCTGGTAGAAATGTATTAATTCCATTCAGTTTTAGCTTTTTACGGCAATACTTACTTACTTACTAATGTCATCCATCGTGAGTGAGCACAGGTCTCCAACGAACACGCTACATTCATCTCTGTTCTAACCAGTCCTTTCCAGTTGTTTCCTTTTCATGTTTGCTTCCAATTCCCAATACAGTGTGTTCTTCGATCTTCTTCTTTTTCGCTTCCCTTCAGGATCCCAAGTTAGCGCTTGCTTTGTGATACAGTTTAGTGATTTTCATAATATTTGTCCTATCCACTTCCATCGTTTTTTCCTAATTTCCTGTTCAATTGGAAGTTGGTTTGTTCTCTCTCACAGTAGACTGCTGATGATGGTATCTGGTCAGTTGACATTGAGTATCTTCAGTAGACAATTGTTTATAAATACTTGTAACTTTTTGATGATGTTGTAGTGGTTATCCATGTTCCAGCTTCGTACAGTAAGACATTCATTTTGAAGATTGTGACTTTGATATTGGTTGACAGTCGATTTAAGTTCCATATGTTCTCCGACTGTAGGAATGCCGTTTATACTTTGCTAATTCTTGATGAGGGTTGTGGTAGTTCTTCACGTTTCAGTTCAGTACAGTATTCACGTACTATTAAAAAAAGTTTCACAACTTACTATAATGTTACTTACTAGAAAGCCTTAAAGGAAAACCTGCAGTGTTTGGCAAATTTTCTTACGTATTCATTCTTAAAACAAAGAAAGAAATAAGTTTATTGGAATTCAAGGGGCTTATATATGGTAGATGGCAAAACAATTGATTGTAGTAGATGGATAAATGATGGGTGACCGATATCGAATTTTAAAAATATAGATAAAATATATTGATCGATGTTAGATCACCACTGGAAACTTGAAATCACTGAATGAACGTTTCGTCCTAGTGTGGGTCTCCTCAATAGTGCGCATCCATGACCCCACACGTCGGATTCGAACCCAGAAACTTCGATTTCACACGCCAACGCTTAACGTCTAGATCATTGAGACAGCATCCAACGGCGCGCAACAATTTATTCATTGTCTGAGGTGAATACCTGTCTCTATTCGATAAGGATTAGATCGCACTGGTCACGACTTGATACTCGAACTTCAAGAAATCATCTTAGAGCCCCACACTAGGACGTATTGGACATCCAATGCTTTCAGATTCACCATGTTGGTTTAACACCAATCAATTCATGATCTCAATCAAAATATCAATGTTTAAACATCATTAAAATGCAATAATAAAAAAAAACTTTTTATCAATTCTTAGCGAGATTATCTCTATTCTTGATGTTAAAGAAAGGAATTCGACCGTCATTTCATCAAGCTGATTAAACAATAGATGGAATATGAAATTTTCTTAACTCAATGATCTAAATGTTAAACACTCACTCATGAGACTGACAAGTCCTGCGTTCGAAACCACCACGTGGATTGATAGATATGCACTACTGAAGAGGAGTCTCATACAAGGACGAAACAATCATTCAATACTTCCAGATTTTCTATGACAATCTCATTTTAATAAAAAAAAATATGATCTGAAAACATTTTTATATTCATAAAAGATTCAGACTAATTGTCTCATTTTAAATATATCACCATTTATAGTAAATCGATTTTCAATTGAAGAGTAACACCCAATGTCATTATTTATGTATGTTTCCTGTAACCATGGTAATTATGTATGGGGGGGGAAAAAGTATATGTGTATACATAAGTTATCTAAGTGTTACAATAATGTTACTTTTTTTTCTGATTACATAAAGAAAAAAAACCCATAAAACTGTAACAAATAATAAAACGAACTTGAAAAAGACAGTTTGTTCTATATGGTTGTTGTTGTTGTTGTTGTTGTAATAGTCGTCGAGATTTTAATATCCGGATATAAGTTTAATAAAACGACAAGGAGATTTAAATTGAACTAAAATTCGGACAATGATGATTTACAATAGTTGAAATCAAGAGTTCATTGAAGCTGGATCACCATGGAGAACTTGAAAACAATGGATGATCGTTTTGTTCTAGTATGGAACTCCTCAACAGTGCGAATACATGATCCCACCCTTCCGTGTGGTTCGAACTCTGGACCTATCAGTCTTGTACTCGAGCGCTTAATCAACTAGACCACTGAGCTGGCTGGCATCCAACGGTGTTAATGTTTAATTTCAACTAATCCATGAAGTCGTGCCACCGTACGCCATTGTCTGAAGTGAGTTACTATCACACGACAGACCTGGTTGAACTCCACTGGTAACGGCTTTCCAACTATTGAAATTACTAAAATCTCCACAAAACCCCTTCAGATAATTATGAATTAATCAATGTTAGAGTACTATTATAAAACATGGAGATACTTGATGATCATTTCGATGAAGTATAGGATTCCTCAGTAGTATGCGTTCACGATCGCTCACATAGGACTCAAATATAGGACCTTTGGTTTCATGTGCGAACTAGCACGTCTGAACCATTGAATCGGTATCCAATACTGTTATTATCCTATTTCTTTTATCATCTTCAGTGAGTAACTGTTTCAAACCCGACATTGTTCAACTCCGCAAGTAACGACGATCTTCACATCATAGTGATAGTATTTGATTTCTGCGCGAACTCGTCATGTCATGTACAATGAGCACTGAAAACACTTTCTATACCACTCAAAACGTTCAAAATGATATCGAAAATGTCGCCAAACATGGAGTTAAAATGAAGGTAACAGATGTATTTAATAACTAGTTATGTTTCATTTGACTGCAAGTGACAGATGAATCAACACTATCCTTAATACTCAACCACAACCATACTATATCGTGAAACAAATCTAAACCTGTTGACGCTATATTTGTATAGAAGAACAATTCACATAGGACGTCGTTGATTTCTGAGAGAAGTTCATCCATCTATTGCTACAATATAGTTTATATCAATTTGCATCGAGAACTCTG